AGGTCATGGGTTCGATTCCCAGGAAAATCAAGAACTGTGTACCTTGAATGGAAGTTGCTTCGGATAAAATTATCTCCAAATGCATAAATGTTAATGCATAATGTAACACTATAACTATGTACATGGAACAAAACAAACATTAAGTTAATATTTACTTGAAAACGTGCTCTAGCTCTCCTTGGCCCATGAGAGAAATTAGAGAGCTAGATGTCTAAGAGAAACATTTCTTGAGCACCAAATCAGTTTGAGAGAAATAGAAATAGACTGTACCATTTATTAATCATTCTTTTGAGTCAAGACTTTTCACTGAATCAAAAACAGTCTGATTGATTCAATCACAAGTCAGAATCTAATTCTCAAGTTCAATAGCTCACTCAGGGGAAAGACTATCGATGGATTACCTAAATGTTGATATCATATGTGTTCAGAAGACTTCTGCTGTTACCTCTCTTGCGTTTCTGAGAGATGTAACATCCCTTGAAATGAATTGTTTGTTACAGAGAGTGAAAATAAAAATGGAAAATTATAATTTTTACAAATATTTGAATTTTTTTGATGCAAAAACTTTATTAACTTCATAAGCTAACCTCCAGAAACATAATATAAAGATCTGAAAAATAATTTCATGACCCCTCTTATAAAACATGGCCACAAATTAATAAGTGGTAAATTCTGAACTTATGGCCACTATTTCTATTTTTTCTTCCATATGTCATATGTTCTGGGTTCTGTAGAATTGCAGTGATGTTTCATGCAAAAGATGGTTAAAAATAAAAGTTGTATGCAATCTCATTATGTCAATTATTACCAATTTATTTAGTATGGACCCCTTTTATGATATTCCTATGGAGCATTTGCATACTTTTTTAAGCTTGAAAGCCTCTGTACACATGGGCACTAATGGAATGGAAAAAAGAAACCAGTACAATCCTCCTTTTGTGTTCCCTAGAAGAAATAAAGTCATAGGGGTCTGTAACAACATAAGCCTGAGTAAATTAAGACAGAAGTTTCATTTTTGGCTTAAGTATTCCTTAAAATCTTTCTCTCTGTCCCAAGATGCTACCTTACTTCTAGTGTGTCTGTCCATCTTGGCCTCTCTCCAGCTTCTCTCTCTCTCTCTCTCTCTCTCTCTCTCTCACTCTCTCTGCTTCTGTCTGCCTCGCAGCTTTTCTCTCCTTCCATCTCCGTCTGCATGGCTGTGTGAATGGAAATCATTTCAGGCATCACTACCCACGGCTAATGCTGAAATGTGTTCTCTAAGGTGTCCACAGTGCACATGAATACAGTCATGCCTAAACCCAGATACCACACAGTCTGATACTCCACCCATTCAAACAACCTTGAGGCACATAATGAAAACCTCAATATTTCACACGAAACACAACCTTCATCGTCCTCTTCTCCCCACTTAGTAAGTCATAAGACTTCTGGTCAGTTCTAAGATGTCTGAAGCTGTATTATAGGCATTAAATGGTCAGAGGTCAACTCAGATACAAGGCGAATAAAGGTCAGGTCCATATCTCAAGACTAGGGATGGGTATCGTTAAGGTTTTAACGGTATTACTACTCTTACCGATACTGCTTATCGATTCGGTACTTTAACGGTATTGTTATCGGTACTTTTTGTTTTATATATATACATATATTCTGAAATGTAAAATAAATATTTAATGAAACGAATATCGCGTGCACACATTTCAGCCTGAGGAAGAGCGTCTCTTGTGCGGATTGTGCTTTCAACATTTTATCATCAAACATTAGCAACAGCAATTTAGCAACAGTAAAGAGGGCATCTTACAACAATCACCGACTGAGCTGATTCTGACGTTAAGTTTGGGTTTTAGGGAGGAACGAATGCGCACCGCTGTGAAGGGAAAGAAGTTGCGCAATACGAAACGCAGCTAGTTTTTAATAGCTTTACCTCATGTCTTCTTTTGTATAATCCTTAGAAGCCAAAATCGAAATAAAAAAATTAAATTAGCTTAATTAAACAGCCACAGGCCTAAAGTGTAAGCAGATGTTTGAATGTTTAGTTCTCTCTTCTATCATAATTAAACAGGGCTTTCATGTTGCGCGTGCTGAAGCTCCTCCGCGTGGGCGCGATCTCGCTTCTGAATTGCGAATAGCAAAAATGCATCATAGACAAATGTTTGAAAAACAGCTGGCGACTCTGGTGAGATAGAATTTGCAAGATAATGTATATATAGCAATAATAAATGTATGTGTGTTTTATTAATTTCTCCAGTACCGATAGCAGAACCGTTAACGTCAGAGCTTATCGATACTCCGGTCTTTCATAATTTAGCCCCGGGACCAATTAAATACCGGGTTTCGGTACCCATCCCTACTCAAGACTCTGACCTCCGTGTAATTGCCTTAAGGCCCTTTAAATCATGTCACTGTACGGCACCGTTTGCTGTGCTTCACTGGTCAGAAGTGCTTACAGCAGTTTGATGCTCATAATACTTCCAGTGCACTGAGCAACAGACCACCTCCAGAGACAGTTTCACAAACCACGCAAACTTTCAGAAAACTGGTTAAGATGAAAACAGAGTTCCCTTCAAACTTTAACACGTTCATGTATCTCTGTAAAGTGGAACACATTCAAATAAATGCATCCATATAAAACTAAACTAAACCAATATACTGGGCAAAGCATCACAATGAGAAGCATAAGCTCATTAGTTTATCATCTCAGCAATGAATAACTGAGTCAAGCAACACACTTAGAAAAACATCCGAAAGAGTGAATAAACCCTAAAATATCAAAACCACACTTGTCAATAACCTCATTAGTGTAAAACTTTTCTAATGAGAAAAATAATTAAATTCTAAAAGGAATGTATTCCTGACCTGAATCATAAGGCGAGTCATTTTTTGGTCATATTTTAAATGAATCGGGAACTGCATACTTTAGGTTTACACAACTTAGATCAGTCTGTTTACTAACTGATGATGACAATGAGTAAATAAAGATACATTTTCAATATAGTTTTTGATGTATAAATAATAATGGTTTTACAAAAAAAAAAAAGATTATTGTTGAACACACAGTCCTGTTCAAAGGTTTGAAGTCAGTAAGTGTTTTTTTTTTTTAAGAAATTAGTACTTTATTGGCAAGAATGCATTTAATTAATCAAATTGACAGAAAAAATGTTTACATTGTTACAAAAAAAAATATTTAAAATAAATTATGTTTGTTTTTAACTGTCTTATCATCAGAAAATGTGTGTAAGTATCACGGCTTCCACAAAAAATTTAAGCAGCAAAACTGTTTTCAACATTGATAATAATAGGAACCATTATTAGTTGAGCACCAATAATAACTGATAATTGATTACCAAATCAGCATATTAAAATTTTTTATGAGTGATCGTCTGACAATAGAGACTGAAGTAATGACTGCTGATAATTCAGCTTTGCCATCACAGGAATAAATGACCAAAACGACATTTTAAAATATATTTAAATAAAAAACAGTTATTTAAGATTGTATTATATTATGGGTTTTTATTTTATTTATATTATATTTCACAATATTACTATTTTTACTTTTTGATCAAATAAATGCAGGCTTGGTGAGCATAAGATACTTAAAATACTAAAAAACCGCACTGACCCCAAACTTTTGAACAGTAAGACTAAATCGAGTATTTGGATGACATGATTTAAATATCATCGACACAACAATATACCAAACAAATTACTGTTAAAAAGTTAAATCCGGCTTTAATTGTCTCATCACCTGGCAAGAACTGCAGTTGTGAATGAGAGATACATTTCCCATAACAAGCCTGAGGGGAATCACAATGCCACAGCATTTCGTCATTACAAGATACAAACATAATCACAGTGTGTTAAAGTTTTGACTGATCTCAAAGCTCCCTAATTATCTTGATCTCCTAATAAAGCACAGGATGACTGCATCATCTCTAACTAAAGAAGAACTTTAGACTGAGACATGGATGGTAACTCATGAGATCACCCCAGTCCTTCTTCTAACACGCACACACGCGCACACACACAGACACATGCACTCCTTCTCTCTTTACCAATGGTAAACACTGATGCCAACTGAGCGCCTGTCTCACTGATCTATTCATTAGACCAACAGCAAATCACTGACTCATTATTCAATCCTGTTAATGGGTAAATTCTGGAAAACATGAATGTAATAATAAAGTCAATAATGTGGAAAAGCCCAGCTACTAAAAAAGCAAATGAATGTAAGGTGTTAATGGTGAAATACAAGTGAAAAATGATGTGAGAGGAGGCTGTGTCCATGTCACTGTGACTTAAACCTAAATGCATCAAAAATGGTGAAAATGGACACATTAAGCAGGCTTTTAGCAAATAAATGATGGTGGCAGGAGTTGTGGGACCTTTCAACACACCTGCAGTGGTGACAGAGGATATGATTTTATACACGCACGCACACACACACACATATGCTCATATAGTATCCTTACACCTTTATAACACTTAGCGAACCACTATAGATGCAGCTTCTGTGCTGTCTTTGCAATGAGAAAATGGAAACAAATTGGGTTAAATGATGTGGCTGATGGGAGTGTATGAAACGGGAACGTTTAATCCATCAGATAGCCTAGTAAACCTCTCAAATATCCTCAAAATTAATATCACGTTGAGTCGCATTTGACTTAATTTTACCAGACATGACTTGAATGAATAAAAAACTTAACAGAGAAATTAATCGATCATGTTCCTTCCATCCTCCCAGATGGATTCAAGGAACTACAGTTGCAGATATTTGAGAGGAGATGAGTGATAAATGGATAAAAGAAATGTGGTCTCAGTTGAATCTTTTTAAATGCTGCTACTGCTTAATGTAACAGAGAGATCTCTCTCATCTAATCCGTTTCAAATGGACTTTGATGAGCTCAAGAGAAACAAAGATCAACTAATGACGCTCAAACACGCTCTTAGACCATAATAGCATATTATTAATTATTCAAACCAACATAATACTGCTTACTCACGCAGTTTATTTCAGTTATTTCCTCTCCTCATGTTCCTGCAGACGGCTGTTCACAGCAACAGTTACGCGAGCGTTTTCACTCACGCGCACCGCGCGTGAAATCATTCATTCCTCCTGTCAGGAATTTACCGGACGGTCTCCGTATCACTCAAACGTTAACCCACCATGTCGGTTTAAAATCCAAGCAGAGTGTCACCGGACAGACCCACGCAGCGAATCCCGCATCAGTCTCTATGTGTGTCTTTTTCTCTGTCGAGGACGGACCGCAAGAGCCCCGGTGATTTTACTTCTTCCTGATTCTTCTTAAGCGCGTAAAGTCCAAGAGCAGGTCAGTTTCAGGACGGTGTTTGATAGTCCTCAAGTAACGGTAAAAATGAGCATGACAGCTCCATTGAAAGTGCAGCCCACCTCAAACAACCCTCATTCAACCCTCTCACTCTCTCTCACTCTCTCTCTCTCTCTCTCTCTCTCTCTCTCTC